GTTTTATAAAATAGGGTCTTGTCATCAGGCCCTATTATTTTTTTACCCATAGGCAAACCAAGAAATCACAAGTTAAGAAACTTGCCTATACAAAAGTAAATCATTGATGAAGCCAGGAAAAATAGGTTCCTTTCTATATTAAACCAATTTTTCATTTTTTATTTATTTTTTTTTTTCCCGGCACGGTGTGGTCTGCACCACATTCAGCCAGTGAGCGCACCGGCCATCCCTATATAGGATCTGAACCTGTGGCCTCAGTGCCACCAGCGCTGCACTCTCCTGAGTGAGCCATGGGGCGGGCCCAATTTTTGATTTTTTAAAAGAGCTTTTTGCAAACTTTTTCTCCTTTCCATAAAATTCTTGATTCTTGCTTTTTAAATTTTTTCATTTCTTAAAACAATGCCTCTAACAGTGTACTGATAAGTATCTAACAGTCAGATCTCTGGGGCAGAAACCCTGTCTTGTCGCGTTTGCCAGTTTCCATGGTGTAAATACTCCCACCATGGCTGATCTCTGGTTACTAATGTGACTTCAACTAGCTCGCAAAGTTGCCGAAAATCTAACAATTGGCTCTTTTGAGCCACTACGGATGACCTCTATTGCACCACTGGATGTCTCCTTTATTAAAAATAAAAACATTAAAAATAATAAAGCTTAGATTTCTGAGGATTTGCACAAAGAACTTTTAATTAACAAACAGATTTTTAGTTTAATAGAGATCCCCATACTGGCCAGCCACCCCACTCTCACTCCAAAAAGAAAGGTAAAAAGTACGAGGGCCCCTTCTCCTGCATAATTTATACAAACCCACCTTCTAGTAATTATTGCTATTATTATTATTATTACTAACAATAATTGCTAACATTTATTGAGCAGTTCGTATGTATAAGGCATGTTTCTAAGCATTTTATTAAGATTTATTGTGTATTCTCAACATTTTGTACACGTATGCACGTCCTTTCCATCTTAAATAAAGGATTTATATTCTCATATTGTTAGGAAACTTGTTCTGTTCACCTCAATGTATCTTGGACAACTTTCCATGTCACAATACACAGACTCACCTCATTCTTATAGTTGTATAGTTTCTGTTGAATGGACAGGCTACCATAACTTACTTCACAAGTCCTCTGATGAGGGGCATTATCAGTTGTTTCTAGTTTTTTGTTATTACAACAATGCTGCAATGAGCATTCTTGCATAAATATTTTTGCAAACGTGTATGTATCTATAAGATTATCTTTTATTGACTGTTACACTAGAATGCAAATTTCATGAGGGCAAGGGCTTTAGTTTGTTTATTGCTATATCCCTAGTATTTTATTCCTGGTGCCTAACATATAGTAGGTGTTCAATAAATACTTGAACACATACCATTTTACACCCACCAGCTGGACAAAAATTTACTCTGACAATAATAAGTGTTGACAAGGATGTGGAGCAACAGAAAAGTCTCAGCTCTTGCTGAGTGTAAATTAGTATATTTGTTTTGAGGGGCAATTTGATAACAACTCAATAGTGCACATTCTGGGGCCGGCCCGTGGCTCACTCGGGAGAGTGCGGTGCTGATAACACCAAGGCCCCGGGTTCGGATCCCATATAGGGATGGCCAGTTCGTTCACTGGCTGAGCGTGGTGCTGACAACACCAAGTCAAAGTGTAAATTAGTATATTTGTTTTGAGTAGCAATTTGATAACAACTCAATAGTCACATTCTAGGACCAAACATTTTCATTTCTAATACATATTAGATATACTCTTGCACATGTACTCAGGGAGAAATGTGCAAGAATTTTATTACAGCATTCCTTGCATTGTACAAAAACACTGTACAGAATTGAGCAAAAGCACCATAGCACTGCATGTATCTCTCTCTGTACACAGACAACCTCCACACATTATTTTTTGTTCTGAACCACTTGGAAATAAGGTAAAGACATCATGACTAAATAAGAAAGTTGCAGAGGACAATCATTTAAAAAACATTCAAAACAATACTATGATGTTTAGAAATATATACATATATAGTAGAAATAAAAAGCTAGGAACAGAAATGATAAACACCAAATTTAGGCAAGTGGCCACCTTGGGGGCAGGGAAGGAAATGTGTTCAGGGTTGGGTACCTGGAAGCCTCACTACTTGGAATATTTTTCCTAAACTGTGTGGCGGGTACATTTTTGTTATTGGCTTGACTATTTTTGCATGACTAATATATTTCATAATTTAAAAAGCATCCATCTTGTAAGGAAAATAGAGTTAGTTTGGTCAGGCCCTCTCGCNGTTAGGAAACTTGTTCTGTTCACCTCAATGTATCTTGGACAACTTTCCATGTCACAATACATAGACTCACCTCATTCTTTATAGTTGTATAGTTTCTGTTGAATGGACAGGATACCATAACTTACTTCACAAGTCCTCTGATGAGGGGCATTATCAGTTGTTTCTAGTTTTTTGTTATTGCAACAATGCTGCAATGAGCATTCTTGCATAAATATTTTTGCAAACTTGTGTGTATCTATAAGATTATCTTTTATTGACTGTTTATTACACTAGAATGCAAATTTCATGAGGGCAGGGGCTTTAGTTTGTTTATTGCTGTATCCCCAGTATTTTATTCCTGGTGCCTAACATATAGTAGGTGTTCAATAAATACTTGAACACATACCATTTTACAACCACCAGCTGGACAAAAATTAACTCTGACAATAATAAGTGTTGACAAGGATGTGGAGCAACAGAAAAGTCGCAGCTCTTGCTGAGTGTAAATTAGTATATTTGTTTTGAGTAGCAATTTGATAACAACTCAATAGTGTACAGTCTAGACCAACCATTTTCATTTCTAATACATATTAGATATACTCTTGCACATGTACTCAGGGAGAAATGTGCAAGAATTTTATTGCAGCATTCCTTGTATTGTACAAAAACACTGTACAAAATTGTGCAAAAGCACCATAGCACTGCATGTATCTCTCTCTGTACACAGACAACCCACACACATTATTTTTTGTTCTGAACCACTTGGAAATAAGGTAAAGACATCATGACTAAATAAGAAAGTTGCAGAGGACAATCATTTATAAAATATTCAAAACATGGGCCGAGCCCGTGGCGCACTCGGGAGAGTGCGGCGCTGGGAGCGCAGCAGCACTCCCGCCGCAGGTTCAGATACTATATAGGGATGACCGGTGCGCTCACAGCGCTCACTGGCTGAGCGCGGTGCGGCTGGTCTCAAAAAGAACAAAAAAAAATTCAAAACAATACTATGATGTTTAGAAATATATACATATATAGTAGAAATAAAAAGCTAGGAACAGAAATGATAAACGCCAAATTCAGGCAAGTGGCTACCTTGGGGGCAGGGAAGGAAATGTGTTCAGGGTTGGGTACCTGGAAGCCTCACTACTTGGAATATTTTTCCTAAACTGTGTGGTGGGTACATATTTGTTATTGGCTTTACTATTTTTGCATGACTAATATATTTAATAATTTAAAAAGCATCCATCTTGTAAGGAAAATAGAGTTAGTTTGGTCAGGCCCTCTCGCCTCATTTCTGGCTATGTATAATTCAGCACATCCATTGTGAACAAGTTACACTAGAGTAGTGTTAGTGCACATGTGTACCTATGTACCCCTTGGCTCGTTGCCACTATTGTGCACTTTCAGTATGGAAGGCAGTGGCTCTGAACCGCTGGCAGCAGAGCTCGCATCAGAATGAAGCATGTCTATCCTCTTATCAGCGACCAGAATTTTTTTTAACTACCTGACTCGCGCGAACTGCACAGGACAGGGAAGAGGGATCTGTGATCCAGCTTGACAATTGGCATAGTTGGTGATGGGTTTCCAAGCAGGTAAGGGAGGGGGAGGAAATGTGACTACCCTCGAGTATGTGGTACCTGGTGGCCTCTCTCCTGTTGGCCAGGGTCTGGCTGTCGCTCACTGTACGATGAGTCAACATGGACCAGGTACTCCATGAAGCGGTGCAGCTGCAAGATTTGCAGCAGAAAGCAGACTTGTTCTGGAGGCTGAGGTGCAGCAATGAGTCACTCCTGCTTTCGACATCGGGGGATGATGATGAACCCGATGGTGACTTGGAGAGACTGTGTGCCCCCTGGCATGACCTGTTGTGCATCAGAAACTGAAGCGTGAATAGCCCATGGGACAAGGTGGGCAACTGGTAGGCAACCCACAAGTGACCCAGTATACTACATATGTCCCCTGTACTCAAGCTAAGTTGGTAGACTTGGGGAAGCAGTTTTGCCAGAAACAGGGCAAACGCCTAGCTGCTTGGCTTTTGCAGCTGTGGGACCTAGGTGTGGATAGTGTGATGTGCTCTGGTGAGGAGATGGGAAAATTGGCTTCCATCACCACACATCTATCCCTGCAGCAGCGACGACAGAGTAGCCACAGGTATGTGGCAGGACAGGGTAACCACTCCTTGATGGAATGGGTGAATGCAGCCATCCGGATTGCGTGGATGAATGCTGGAGAACTGCCTGAAACTGTGAGTAGGTGGCAAATGTATGCTGAGCTGGTTCAAATAATTTGGGAGCTGGGGATGCAATAGTCCATGTGTAATGTGAACACCTGTGGCCCAGATGATGAACATTTTACCGGCAGCATGATAGACGTAGTGCTACAAAATGCTCCGTCGACATCCTTTGGGTCACTGATGACCATACTGGCCCCATACGCTGGTCATCCTATACATGAAGTGACAACCATGATGGCCAGTCTGGGCTAGGCAGAGGGGAGGACACAAGCAAAGGGGGTGTAAAAGTTGGCGAAGACCATGTCCCCAAGAAATTCTCAGGGTGTTGCCCTGAAGGGACCAGCTGCATGCAAATGTGGTTTGACTTGCTTATGGCAGGAGCTGACAGGGAAAAAATTGACCAACAACTAAATGTGGTCCTGTTTGCTTTGTGGCAGCAATTGCACCCCAAACAGCATTTCATTAAACGCCCAAAAACAGGCAAGGTACACCCAGTGTAAAAGATTTCATGGCTACTTCCACGGAGGCAGATGGACTGTTCTTTTTCGACTAGGGAGCAGGCCAAGGTGCTCGCCTTTGGGGGACAGATGAGGACTGCAGGCCTCACATTGAACTGGCAATACATTGGTCAGGGATAAACGTGCAGCCTGTATTGGTGTTGGTTGACACTGGCACAGAATGTAGCCTGATACATGGCAACCCAGATAAGTTTCGGGGGGCCAGAGTGAATGTTGATGGCTATGTAGGACATTCTATTAAAGTCAAAGCTGTGTTTTTGTCACCGGGCATAGGACGATTGCCCCCTCGTGTATATGCTGTTTATGTATCCCCTGTAGCTGAATACATCTTGGGTCTAGATGTGCTTTATAGGCTACACCTGCAAATGACGGTTGGAGAATTCCTATTGTGGATATGGACAGTAAGGCCTGTGCCCTAGGGACATGTCAAGCATGATCCACAGGTGTTACCCAAGCCAAGGCATGTGGTTAATATGAAACAGTGTCAACTGCCAGGAGGACATGCAGAGATATGTGCCACTATCTTAGAGTTAGAAAAAGCTGGCATCATCCATCCCACACACAGTCCCTTTAATGCCCCTGTATGGCCAGTGAAAAAGCCAGATGGTACCTGGAGGATGACTGTGCATTATCGAGAACTGAACAAAGTCGTGCCTCCTTTGCACGTGGCTGTGCCTTCAGTTTGTGACTTGATGGATCAGCTGATGACTCAGCTGGGAACTTATTGTTATGTATTGGACCTTCCAAATGCTCTTATCTCTATTCCAATCTCGACTGATAGCCAAGATCAATTTGCCTTCACCTGGGAAGGAAGGTAATGGACTTTTCAAGTGTTGCCCCAAGGCTACCTGCATAACCCAACCATCTGTCATGGTTTGGTGGCTGGGGACCTAGCCAAGTGGACTAGGCCCAACACGGCTACAATGTTTCATTACATAGATGATGTCTTACTAACGTCTGATTCTCTTGCAGATTTAACCAAGGCGGCTCCAACACTGCTAGGCCATTTGCAACAATGTGAGTGGGCCGTATACAAGGGTCTTACCCTTTGGATATCTACCTGGAAATATCAACAGTGGATGGTAGGCCACCAACCCCTGTGGGGACAAGCTATGTGGAAGGAATTATGGGAATTAGGGCAGGAAAAGGAAGTAACTCTTTGCCATGTCACAGGACACCTCCCCTTAGCCGGCCCAGGCAATGACAAAGCTGATGCATCATCTAAGGTAAGATGGCTGGAGAAAGCCCCAGCCACTGATGTGGCCCAGTGGTTACATTCACGAATGCAGCATGCTGGCTGCAAGACCATGTGGTCGATGGCTCAAAAGTGGAACCTGCCCATAAAATGGAAAGATGTAGTAAATGCATATTGTGTTTGTCCAGTGTGTGCTCAAGAGAGTCCACACCCCTGGCAGGTGCTGCACACCATTAGGCAGATAACCTGTGGAAGGGTGCCCCTGACTCGATGGAAGTGGATTTTGTGGGACCACTGCCCAGGTCAGAGAATTTCAGGTATATCTTCATAGCCATTGATACAGCTATGGGTCTTTTGTCTGTGTGGCCCTGCAAGACCCCAGACCAGGTAAGCACTATTAAAGTGTTGAATAGCCTTACAGCCATGTATTATCAGCCCCTGGTCACAGAAAGTGATAGTGTAACCCACTTTACTGGACATGAAGCACAGGTACTTCTCAGTTGTCCAGTCTGTGGAAGTTACATGTGCCATATCACCCCCAGGCAGTGGGAATGATTGAATGGTAAAATGATCTTCTGAAAAAGGGACTAAGGCTATCTGCCCAACCCCCATCCCTGAAGGGGTGTACACGGAGATTATGGCTGACAGTCAGGATCTTAAATGAGAGACCCTGCAAAGGCGGGTCCTCTCCAGTGGAGGCTCTGTTGCATAGAGCCGCAGCACCTGCTCCTGCAACCATTCTTTCCAGGATGGCGGGCTGGCATGTGTGCTGCCAGGGGTACAAAAACTCCCTC